GTGCCCTGCAGGCTTCCGTGACCGCTGCACTCGATACAGAGTTTGATCAATCTGCCGGTGGAATTTCACTGTTAATTTCAGTTCTGGGACTTGATGCCTCCGCACTTCACCAGCTGCATACATGCTCTGTATACGGTGGTGACTCCGTCATGGCAGCATCGAGGAGCTGGAACAGCTCTGACAGCGGCAGCAATTCGCTTGGCCAGGGACAGTGGTGTTGATCTAGCGTTCGCCGAAGTACTCAGTGACAACGTCTCCAGGGTAGGTGCTTCTGAATAATTTTGGCTGCACTCATCACTCTTGAATTCGTTTGATTTCCGGGTGCTCATGTCCTTGGGATGAGGGGGGCATACAAAAGGGACCGTTGGTAGATGACGTTGGGACTAAGCCCATGAGAGAGAAGCGCCAGGGAGAACGCAAATTGCTTACGCACTCCTTCAGAATATCTTCTCCTCCCCACATAGGTACAGTAAGCAGCTCATCAGTTGAAGGTCCCCTTCCCCCAACGTCATGAGCGTCAATTTCTGATTTTGACTTCTGTTCTGTCATCAATAAATCTTCACGAGAGTAGTGAAAGCTAGAAGGGAGCCTGGAAATACCTTGAACTTGGAAATTTCGCCTCAGTATGTGGTGGTGGGGAGGTCAATCGGCAATGTGCTAGACCTTACGCATTCTTAAAGTGAATGCGGCTGGTATGAAAAACCGCGTTCGTGGGCGATTTGCCTACACCTTTCAGTAATGAATCAGTTCAATGCCAGATACACCAGATAGAAAGTTACAGTTATCATCTGTGAGATTTCAGTTAAATACACCATTCGGCTTTTTCGAGCTGCGATCGATACCTCATTCACACTGGAAAGATCGCCAAGGTCGACCTTTGATCCAGATAAAAGGAGCAAATCGGTCTGTACTCAGTGTGATGTTTCTAAAGGCAACTCTGATGGAATCAAAGCTATAAATCTTCAAGAACACTGCTTTGGCATTGACAATAATTTTCAAAACACTTCCTGCACTAACACAAAAAGAGCAAATTCTGTAGTAGCGTGCATACCACAAAATTCTGCCTCCAGAACAATCTCTTCCGGAGCGCTATTTCAGTATCTGAGAAGGTAAATCGAATCATCATTACTATAACGTGATGAACATGTCGCACTTGAAAGGCCGCCATGGACGGCGCGACACGACTGCGCGCCACACCCATGTCTTACATTTCTCCCCCTGCGGGGTTCCTTACATTTAGTATGTAAATCACACCGTGAAACAATTGTAATGCCTGATTCCAATTTTTTTTCAGCCACGTCCGCAAAACCGTACCTATCCCTTATGATCGAAAAAGCCCAAGTGAAGTGATTCTTTCTCAAAAATGACGGGAATAAAGAACGAGCGCCGCTGCAACAATAACCACCATCCTCTTCGACTGTAAAACACTATGTTTACCCTTTACCTCTGTCCGCCTATTCCGTAGAGGTCCGTTCGCCTGGTATGCATTGCCATCTTTCCTGATTGAACATCGGCAGAAGGAAAGCATAAGGTGCAGAAATATCAACTTCAACTCTTCGTTTAAGTCAGCTTTGTGGTCCCTTATGGCGAGACCTCTTTCAAGTCACGTTAAGATGAAAGTCAAATCTACATCTATCTTATCTCAACTCCTGAACTTCAGCAAATGAATTCAGCAATCGTATTACTTTGCTATGAAGTCAATATGGGGTGGAGGACCGAGTGAAAAGATAGCGTTAGAATTGAGTTTTCTCTTTCGGTGAACGCAAGACGTAGCTGGAATGTGAATGAACGAGTGCTATCATAACAAAGGAAAACTGATCGTAATCCAAAATTTCCCCATAGAATCTACATAAGCGTTTCACTATCAAACGCTATTACCCTTGTCACCCCTTCTGCATACATAAAATGATTTGCTGGACATTTATTTTACAAAAATCAAGCATAGATACTATGCTAAAGGCTTTGCTGGTTGGAACTTCAATGGAGGCGGTCGCACCGTCTTCAATCGGTTCCTGATCACATCTGGGAGCATGTCTAGGCTTTTTCGTTCCTAAAACAGCATTTTTCAGTAGTGTGAGAATAACGGTGGATCACACGAAACCAACCGTTTGGAAAGTCTCCAATATACTGATGAGAGTTCTTGTAGATGCTACTGCTGTTCCATTGCAGGTGTGAACGAATTTCTTCTCACCTGCCTTGTTGACATAGCGAATTTCCTAGAATGGACATCCTATAGAATCTGTTTTATTCAACGCACAACGTCGAGACATCAGTGAAGATTCCAACTAAAAAACCTTGTTGATCAGCTGAAGTTTTATAGATGAAACGCTTCATTTTTTGTACAGAAGAAGAGGAGACGAGGCAAACTGTGCTGCACTTTACGTTAATGACAATAGGTTTTCATTTTTCCAACTTAGGCTATTCGGCAAGAACGGGGCATGGTGATGGCAATGCATCTAAAATCGCCTAAACCATGTTTCCTTCGATAAGAAAGGAACTGAGCTTTGGACGAGGAAGGAGAAACTCGAGAATGCGTGAGCCTTTTTTATTTCCTGGAGTTCCTCCTCGCCCCTACTAGTGCTAACCAGGAAGGTCTTTCAGGGCGTGACAAGCTTTTTGAAAACGGTCTTTTGCATGATATAGGGGCAGATGCGGGAACCACAGAACCATGTTCAATTTTTCCTGAACGGCCCTCTGAATACCAGAAAAGGAGGTCCCTAGTTCGATTCCTCAAATTTTTGCATTTCGAGTTGACGTGCCAAAATTCGCGCAAAATGGAGTTAGAACCAACCAGAACAATCAGAACTCCATTTTGCGCGAATTTTGGAACGTCAACTCGAAATGCAAAAATTTGTCACCAAGAGGAATCGAACTAGGGACCCCCTTTTCTGGTATTCAGAGGGCCGTTCAGGAAAAATTGAACATGGTTCTGTGGTTCCCGCATCTGCCCCTATATCATGCAAAAGACCGTTTTCAAAAAGCTCGTCACGCCCTGAAAGACCTTCCTGGTAGTCCTAGAGGACGGCTCGTATAATCGAATGGGTCCATTCCGTTCAAAACTGTAAAAGAACAAGAAACAATCATCACCAACTTTGTTCTCAATTCCTAACAAGTGGCTTAAGAGCAGCACTCAATAGCACAGACGGCCTCTATTGGAAGCACGGCTTCCTCCATGGAGATTTTAGGATATTTTTCGCTGTCTTACCTGTGTTCAAAATAGGTGTTAACCAGGAGAGTAAGCTTGGAGGAAATGAGGTCAATGTTTGAGTTATGAGTAGAGACATGACTAGGGGATGTACGGACCCTATATGAGCTAAGTGGAGCTGAACCTACAAAGGACGAGGCACGCACCGAAATGGTTGGTCCCAAAGCAAAAATTTTAATTTCGATAATGGATTTCGAAACCCCGGGAAAAATATTTTCGGGTAAGCAGACATTCCATAGGGAGACTTGAATGAAAAACATATGATTCGGAACTATAGGAGACTCAGTCCAAAGTGAAGAAAAAAATGTGAGAAAAGTAATTTATATGGCTGTACTAGAGGACACTCAACTTGAAGAAGTGGGACGCCCTGCCCACAACACCTTAAACGGGAACAGTCGCCAATCAAACATTATAGCTTCAATGCCGAAGACACAAGGGGCAAAGGTCAACATAAAAAGAAGGTTACACGCTAATGTTGGGCGGAGCACGCTTCGGGATGCAGTAGGCTGAAATTCGGATGCATTGAGCGGCCCTCTGCAAGCAACCGAAAACTGAAGGAGGTGGACAAAAAAACAGCAAAAGGATTCCAAACAGGGTGGAAGTTCACTTTATGTGATTTGGTCGTGCGCTAACAGAGGAGAAACTATGATGAAGGTGAATTTGGGCTTCGAAAGATATCAAAGTAATCCACCTGTTATGAGCGAATTTTACGCAGGGGTAAGCTGTTAGAGGCCAAATTTCTGCTTGCTCTTGTCTGTATCGCTGGAGCCCTGGGTAATGTGCGCTCTTCCTAGCCGGTAACTTATTATTTTTATTTTCCTCGAGTCACAACTTAGTACCATTTACTACGAATATCGACGCCTATTGCTTATAATTTTGCCAATTTTTCACGTCTACGACTTGACGCTGTACTCACATTCAGATGATGGAGTGATCATATTACTTTTGCTTCTGTCCACCAAACTTCCATCCTATATCATTTTCTTTTCTACTAACAGAACTCGTCCACTCACTGCAATGGATATTAGTACTCTCAACTCTGTTCTTTTCGAATACCATAACTGGTAGACCCCAACCCGGTGGAGAAGCCGAAAGAGGAAGTCTGACGGACAAGTAGAGGGCATAATTAGCAGGGATGATAAAATATGAATCAAGTGCGTTTTATGCGACTATTCCTACGCTACTTATAATACACTAGTGTGCAAAACCTAGGGACGAGATGCATAAATTGATATATTAACCCATAACGGACGGCGTGCGCCACATGGTGGCGCACGATTATTTCTTTTGTTTTTGGAATGTTTCTAGCAATCTTAATATACCCGTATATACTCTCAGCAATGTGGAATAACATATCTTCCCAGGACCTGGACGGCTGGATTTTTGACAAACCTACAATAAATTTTACATACATTTTGTCTTAACACTTTGGAGACCGCGCGTGTTTTACGTTCCGCGGCCGCGCGGGACTTCGGTGAAATTTTTAGGGATCTTATCTAGCAAATTCAAAAGAAGAACCCACTGTATAATGCAGAAGAAATCTTATCGGATAAAATGGAAAAGAAAATGAATGAAAAACTAATAATTGTTTACGAAATGCGAG